TACTGCAGCCGCCGTCGCGTCCCAGTGAAGTACGCAATTACGGATGGCCAGTCTGAGGGATCACGAACTGTAGGAAAGTGCACCCCAGACGAGTAGATGAACACTGCTCGATTCTGGTTGCTAGCGATTTGGGATAATAAGAGCTCCAGAGAACACAAATTGAGAGAATATTGATTTCCATCTGATTCTTTAGCTCGCATTCTACTTTTCCCCCGATTCCGTAGCGACCAGTGTCCATCAAGTTTCATCTACTCCTTTGGAGGGCACTCTCCTATCACCGTGGGTTACAAAAAGTACACACTCTGTAGTTGGTAGAAATTTTTGCAAAATGCGGCCCCATCAATGTTTCCTCCTCTGGAGCATCTCCCCTCTCCTATCTCCCACGTATCCCTTCACCGGATGTGCGTGAAACGAGAAAATCCGAAAAAAATGCATGGGTGCGTGCGAAGCGGGAAAAGCCGAAAAAGTCACCAGCGAAACCTTTTTTCTCAGAGTGAAACGCGACCTTGCTGAGGAATCGCCAACCTTCGAAACCAAGTATGTGATGAATCCGCGTTCATACTTTGCGAAGTGCCCTTGTCGCAAAGTATGAACGCGGATTCATCACACACTTGGAAAATATGGAAAATCCACGATTTTATTCAATTGGGTACGAACGGGAATGAGCTGATTCGGAGGATTAGCAATTGAAAGTCAGCTGATTCTACTTGTCCTCTGCCGGCTCTCGCGAACAGGATTCTGGAGAAGGACCAGCGTGACTCAGTCAAAACGGAATGTGATCAGTGAGGTCTAATGCTATTTTCTTGCTCTCGTAAGCTTGGGTTAGTCGCACGCTTGTTTTCCTCAATACCTCACGCACTGGTTTCTGGAACTCCGGTCCTGCTCATGATAGCTATTATGCTCAGGTTCTATTCTTATGAACTGGTGGAACAGAGTTTTTTCTAAGTCCGTCTGTTTGCTTCATACAGGGTAGAGGGTTGGTTGGTTGAGCTGATCCTGGGCCTGAGCCCCGGACCACGCGCGTGGTAAGCGTGCCTCTTGCCGCTACATTACCTCCGCCTGAGTTTTGTATTTCTGTTTGAATATCATAAAAACATGCTCGAGCATTCGATGTTCTTTTGTACATATAACTGTTTGAACAATATGGTCTGTTGGCTTCCCATGGGAAGCTTGAGACCCAGGAGATGGTGCATTCGATGCTCCAAGAATGGTTGTATTCAATAGAGAAAAGTTGACTTTTTTCTATTTTTCTCAGCAAAGTTAGTTGATTTCAAGTTGCCTTCTGAAATTTTTGGTTTCGTTTGCTGCTGGTTTTCTAGTCTCTCGTTTTAGGAACTATCTTCTCCAGTCCCCATTGAGGCCTCTCACAGGAGCTCGTGTTTTCCGACTTTCATGTCAAATTGCATGTACACTGAACGTCATAGAGAATATGTTTCTACTCGGCTTGACTGCGATTTCTTCAGTGGAGAATCACGGTAATTGTGAACCTTTCTGTCTTTTTTTTATGATGGTCTTGAGGTCTTTTTTTCAGACCTTCACAAATTTTGCTTTATTGGGTTTGCTGTGTCAGCTATATTGTACATGTTGTTAAGCACGTGGCTATTCCATTATTCAGGACGTAGAAGGGCCACAAATTTGGTAAGGCATTTGAGACTCTGATTTGTTGGAATTAATCGGTTAGCAGAGATGAAATGGTATTATTTCAAGGGTGAGCGTTCATACGAGTACAAAATCCTGGCATGCGCCGGCTCAATCATCTCCATGATATTGTCTATGTATCTTTACTGGAGACACAACGCTTACTGTGAGCCAGGAGTCTATACGATGTTTGCGTTGGCTGAGTACTGCGTTGTACTCTGCAATATTGCTTTTCATTCGACGCTATATTACGATTTCCATGGAAAGAGTGTAATTTTGTCGTCTACAATCGGAAGTGGGAACCGGCGGATACAGCCTGCTCCCAACTGTCATCGAAAAGGATACGTAGAGACAAAAATCAGATGGAAATGGTCGGTGTTCTGCACTCCACCAGGAAGGATTTCTGTAGTTTCGTGTGTCAACTACTATACCATTTAGATTTATAGTAGTACTGCGCGCAACATTCCACCCTTTTGCTTCTGAAATTTTGTCCATTATTCTCATAGTAATTTGATTTTATCTTATTTATCGCCTTGAAAATGCTACAGATCAGATATATGATTGTATCAGCAGGACTCAAGAGGGGGGGGGGGACACGATTATGAAAGGACAAAAGAAAAAAACGAAAAAAAACATCACAGGTGTAGCCCCTCCCAAGTTTGTTATCACCAGAAGATCCTCTGTTATGCAGTACAATCTTTCGGAAACGTGGATTTTGAAAAGAGTCAGCCGAAGAAGGAATACGAGATACTAAAGTTAATTTATTTTCATGATTTTTAGACCAATCGTAGCCTCTTTCGCTAACTTTTGAATAAGTAGTTTCTTAGTTGCGGAAATATACCGCTGGTTCCACCCTTCATCAATTTGAATAATTGTTTTGGCTCGAAGTAGCAAATTTTCGTTTACTAGATCAGATGGTGTTGAAGCAGCTGGCAAGAGGCAGAGATGGCCTAGTGGGCCCAGCTCTGCACTGTAGAGAGCCATGAGGAACGGCCCGCCAAGGTAAGAACCACGCTTTGTGAAAATGCGAAATGGTGTCGTAATCGACTCCCATCCAAGGCAAGTGCTGCTCGTGGGAGCTTTTGCAAAATACGATCCCTCCTCAAAACATCCTCCTCTGGTACGACCCCCTTCTTCATTCTGTAGGTCCTATCCTCAACAAATATATCGTTAGATGCTGGGAGGGGGTATAGCGCACTTGAAACGAAAACCGGGAAAAGCCACAACATGGAAAAAAATTGCCTCAGGCCAACGACCAGCTCTTTCTCTCGAAGCGACCAAATACGACTTCTTCCCCTCCCTGGAAATCCTCAACTCATGACCTGTGACCGTCATAACAAAGTGATTCAGAAGTAACAACGCAATTGTTGTTAAAACAAAGAGGAATTACAAGACGAATATTAATGAAGCTGAAGAATGTTCATTAGAAGAGACTGAAAAAGTTTATCGTAATTCACATATATCCTGCTTCAGAAGGTTTTGCTTTAATGTTTTTTACTGTGTTATTGGGCATTTATATCTCCTTGTGAGGAAATTTTGAGCGGAAGGATTCGTGACACTTATGTCCTTTTCATGAAATTTCAAGAGTATTCTTGAGGACAGTGGGCACGATCGCTGAGGTCGGGCGGTTGTCGCCAGCGTCATTGGTGGAAGGGCTGAGTAGGGTGTGGCCAAACCCCCTTCTCAGCCCTTCCACCAATGACGCAAGCAGCAAGCGCCCGCCTCCAGCAGTTGTGCCTATTGCCTTTAAAAATTTTCTTTTTGCAGCGATAAAGTGGAAATTACCCTGATATGTCGAATTTCTTTTCTGTCCATAAGTGTATTTTCTGAATAGGAGTGTTGTTGGATATGCTTTATTTTGTTTTTAGCATAATTATATCTTTGCATCGGATGATTTTTTTATTCCAGTTGCGGTTTGCCGGTATTTTTGTTAGTCTCATTTGAATCTGTGATACAATAGTGCATTCATGTGGTCCTGTCTCTTTTCTTGCATTCAAAATATTTTAGCTGTCGTACTGGCGAAAGGCCGCATCGCGTTAGCGCACCCTGATGGCCGTCTTTTGAATTTCAATAACTAATGTTGTACACTACCCCTTTGTGTGAAGCAACCCTTTTTGCTACAGTCAGTTAAAAGTTTGCAACTTGCCACTGTTAAAAGTCGCTTATTTATTTGTTGTGAAAATGTCCGGGATGTTTTGATGATTACGAGATACTTATAGAAATAAAGATTTAGACAATGTTGTGTTTACAGAGTAAAGTTAATTGTTGCTCGTCATATGAATACTTCCGTACTGTTAGTTCTCTTCTAATAAATTGAACTTTTTACCGAAGAGTTTCCTTTAGATGGTGTTCTTTGCTTGTGACCAGTGCGGGGAGTCGCTCAAGAAAAATCAGGTGTCTACTTTTATACTAGTTTCCAATAAAATAGCATGTGGCTTACCACGTTCACGATTTGCCTCAAAACTCGGGTCGCCTCCCGCTTTGCAAGCAGGCCAAAGCTTTCGGCCCTCCAGCCGAAGTACAGTGGTATTGGTTTTTGTCCTGGAGAAAAAGAAATACCCACTTATACAATCAGACTGGCTTTCCTGCAATCTATTGTAATAAAGGCTATCACTGCCATTTTGAGTTCTGTCACGGGAGCATGGAACTTGCTTATTGATTGCATCGAGGTAGTGGAGTGAAGACGGATTAATGCGAGATGTGCACAGTTTCGCTTAAAGAATAAGGGGATAGTGACAGGGATTTATTAATGAACAAGAGTGAAGACGCGATCTGCACGTTAAAGACAAACTCGCTGAGTTTTAACTAGCTCATGGAAGTGTATAAGGTTGCGTTTGCGTGAGCCAGGACCATAGGTGAGGGGGTGTCCGAAACAACCACAGCGAAGTTCCAGGAGGATATACGGACGGCTTAGACTCTGCCTTTATAAACATCGTTTACTGCTCTTGTTTGTGCCCTATCGTGTACATGACCCTTTCTCACCATTGTGACCTCACGCTTTCAGTGGTATGAGAAGTGGTTCACCTATATCGAAGTGGCCTACCTTTCAGTGCCTGGGTTCGTGGCCTATTTTATCGCACCTTTTGACGCTCCCTGTGCTTTTTTATAGCTCAACTATTCCAACTATTCTTTTGGTTCTCTTGCTGCATTCAGTGGGAGCTTTGCTTATGGTTAGTCAGGGACGTTTAGTGATATACGACTTGCTCAATGCACAAGAGCTAGCGTGGAAAGGGGGAGGGGCAAACATTCTTGCAATAATGACATGCTGTGGGCTGTGCTGAGCTGTTCTAGGAGCAACCAAGAAGAGAGCTTAATGCGGTCTTTTCATGGTCTGCAAAGGGTGAACAGGCGGCAATCAAGTGATCGATGTTTGATTTCATTTCATTCCATTCCATTCCAGGTGGAGAAGCACACGTATAAATGTCGCTCTCAAAGTTACAGTTGCATTGACTGTCAAGTATGTTTCACGTGAGTATTTTTGTGATTCGATGTACCTAAGAAACTTGGAAGAGAGTGAATCGAAATTATGGAAAGTTACGAGCCAACGATTCCCTATAATAGAGGGATTGTTTTACGGACATTGTTACAGTTTTCATTCCATTCCTGTACCTTGTTTACCGAGTGGAATTCTACTTTTCCTACTTTGGGACTGTAGTTAGAATATTAAGATGGTTGGTGTGGAACGGACCGTATAAGACGACATTTAAAAGGGCAAATACTAAACATCTTTTCATCTTCAGCTTCACCTTTTTCTCTTTCTCTCATTCAGCTTTCTCTTTTCATCTTTCAACATCTTTAATCCCCTTATTTTGATGCTGTTATAGCTGAGAAAACTTGATCCTCCCAAAAAGCTGGTATGAGCCACACCCTCTCCTCCTCCCACCGCGCTGGAGGTGCGGCTCAAAGAACTTACAGCGGTGACGCTGGAAATATCACTTTTCCACTTCTTCTTCACTCCCACCCCAATGGACGACGCACCTACTACCGGGATGAGACCCGGAAGTCTTCTTCATAGACGCAGTCTTTTCTTTAGGAGAGCCAACAGTTGGAATCTCAGAATTAGCTTTCGAAATGATCCGCAAATATCGGGCTAAATGAAATAAATTTTGACAGCATTGAAATAATCTTTGGAGACTCTTGACCTCGTTGGACTGCATATTTCGGGACTTTATCTGTTTTATGTGTTCAAAATAATTTTGATTCCACCTCAAGTATTGTTTCCTATTAGTTGTATGTCTTGCAGCTCAACCTGTTATGTAGCTCATTTTCTAGACCATATACATATCAACAGCATGTCAAGTGTATAACAGAGAATCAAAAATATGGGTCAAAAAACTATGTTGAGAAGGAGGCAAAGGTATGTATGGCCTTTTTTTTCGTGTTTTTCCCTTCTTTTTGGTAGCGCTTATGCCGTGTTAGTTCTTTGCGATTGGGAGATACGGCGATTTGGAAGACTCGGCGATTTGAGAGATCGCCCGGCGCGGAAAGTAGAGCTGTCGATATGACGACAGCAGAGATTGAGCAACCCGGCGATTTGGGAGACTCGGCGTTTCCAGCGATTGCGCTCCGAAGAAGGGACGGAGTACTGCCCAAACGCCGGATCGCCGAGTCTCTCTAATCGCCCGATCGCCCACCTTCCGCAATCGCGGAATCGTCGAATTTCCGCAGTTGTTAGGGACTGGGCCAATCGATACCCATCTAATCCTTCGAGACGTCCTCCGAGGCGCAATTGCTGAGAACGCCGAGCCTCCAAATTGCCGGATTTACTCAGTCGCAAAATATGGCTTTATTATTACGATAATGCCTAGATGCTTCAGGGTGAAATGAAGCAGAATGCTTGGTGTGAGCAAGTGGAGCGTGCCATTGAATTCGTGAAGGATCCTCGTTTAAGATCATTATTGGAGAATATTCAGGGGTACAGTAATATTCCTCGTAAGGTGAGCTGAGCATGACTCGATCTCCTCATGCTTCAATCCGCCGGCAACGAATGTTTTTTCCAGGAAGCGAAGTTCATCAATTTTCTTACGAATTCCTGCCGCATACGTGATGAAGCCCTTTGCCGCAGGGCATGGAAAGCGATCGCTGATGAGGCAGAAAAACTCAAAAAGGAGCAGGAGGAAAGCAAAGCGACCGAAAAAGTTAGAATGGCTGTTGTTGGTCGGTTAGTAGGCGTTTACGTATTTCCGAGATGCTTCCGATTTCAGATAGAGGAGGCCGCACCATCTACCAAAAGCCAACAAAATGGTGCAAATGGAGCGGTGGAATGCAACAATAACGAGGTATTCCTTGAGGGTTTTTCAGGTTTACGGTGTTAACAGATTCACATGCTTTCTGTCTACACAGGAACCTGCAACGACTGTCAATTTCAAATGGAAATCAACGATAAAAAGGAAGCTGCGAGAAGCCGGTGGAGAGATGAAGGCTAGTTTCGTTTTGCGTTTTTATCAAATTTTCAAATCATTACCATCTTCGTGGGGGCAGAATTACGCCTAACCATTGTACCTTTTCCTTTTCCATCAGCGCCCTCCCCTCTTCAGCTTCTTAAGTTTAGATAGCGGTGGGATGGCACCATTAGAGGAAGCACAGTTCAAGGCGGGGCTCCGCCCATACGGTTTGCGTGGAATATTTCATCACATCACTTACACTTGCATGAGATCGCATAGACACCCGCATTCACATGGCCTAGATCTATTAGTATCGTGGACTGTTTGATGTAACTGCTCGATCTCCTCTTTCATGAGGTGCGGACTCGAGTGGGCCGAGCAAGCGTGACATTTTGTTCTCTATAATCCCTCTATAAGCCCAATCTATCTTTTTCAGCTTCAAAAATATTTTCACCCATCAACCATCTATTTGTTGCATTATAAGGATAGTGATCTTCGTCCTCAGCACCTGTCCCAGGGAGATAATTTTAGATTAGTATGGGTACCTTGGGGTTTGGGTACCTGCCTAAGGTTACCTCTTAGAGTGGTAATAATTTATAGATTATTCAGTGAATTTAATCTCTGATCCAAGCTTTTGAATTCGCTGATTACTACTTCTTTTGTATTATAACCGGTTTATGTTCTAGGTCAAAAAGTTACGAAAAGCTGTTATAAACGCATACAAAGAGGTTATTGGCGATGAGGAAGGAGTAGAGGAATTGTTCGAAAGCAAGCTTGCGAAAAGTGGCGTTAGCATAAATGGGAAAATTGGTTTCACTTCAGTCCTGACATTAATGTTATGAATGTTATGTTTACTAGTCTTTTCTATTTTTTTGAGTAATGCTGGTTTTGCTGTTGTTACGTTGTTTGTTATTGTTATGAGATATTATTGTTTTCGCTTGAAAGTGTGGACTAGCCTAAGAGTGTGTTCATACTTCGCGATTCCATTGCTTGTCCCAGCATGTGTGATCGAATCGCCAAGTATGAAACGCCCTTCCAAGTAGTTAATTGTTATGTTATATTATACGTCATTCCATTGCAGAAATATGATTTCTATCTGATCCCAGTAAAGGTAATCTCTATATGTGATAAACATGGAATAGAGAACATCTGAGAAAGGTGAACTCCGCTTTTTGATATAGTAATTGAGCAGCTCGGGCGGAGATAGTGTAGGAGATGGTGTATTGGCAAATGGCACACTTTCCACACAAAAGTCCTGGGATCGAATCCCAGGTAGGCCGTCGCCCGAAGCCGTCGATTCTTTTTTCCAGGAGATAAATTATCACCTAGATCTGGAAAGATAACGACACTGACTTGTACATCGGCTACGAGTCATTACAGGTCACATCACATCACATCATTACGTGGGAATGGGATGCGTGGCGCATCCCAAAAGGGATTGATCAGCAGTGAAAGCTCTATCCTAGTCCCCATTATTCTGCCGTCATTCGTTAGGGATCCTGCTCAACGTTTTCCGTTGTATCGTAGAAACTTTTGATGTGGAACGGGTAAAGGAGTGGATTCTGGTCGCCAGGCACCACAAATACGTTTTCTTAATTTCCGTGGTGTGCGTAGACAGTTGGCATCATTTTCCCTTTAATGATAGACTGGGAATCAGGCCAGATTTTCACCGGAATCATTCACATTCACCGGGGTATATCTGGTTCAAAATTTGCCCCAGGGGCATTTTACCCCTAATAAGAATTTTCATAGTTGATTGTTCTCCTTTACCGGGTGCTCACCATTGGCAGAATCCATAGATCCGCTTGGTGCCAAGAGAATCAAGCTGGCAGCACTGGAATGGGGCACGCGTTGGTCCTTTAGGGCTCGTGGCAGCAGCCATCTACCGGGACCGTGATCTCTTCCCCTGATAAGGCTGAGCATTAACAAAGAAAGGATCACTATGAGGTCCGCGGATGGGTGGATTCTGATAGTGATGAGCTCCGGAACGGAAAAAATCAAC